GCCGATTTCCCTTCTTATAGGTCATCAAGTGCGTGACTTGATCATGAAACCCTATAAGTGAAAGATGAGATAAATTATAGAGGTCCCTAGTCAAGGTTATTATCATGTGACATTAGTAACTATACACTGATCATCATGTGAGGTGACTGATGACTAAGTTTCGTGAAGTCATTAATATGTGGTATTAAAGTCAATCACATAGATATGTGATGGAGAACACAGTATCGGACTGACCCGTTATTAGAATTCTACAAGATTGTTCTATGAGTGTCATAAGAATTTCTCATAACAACTATAGAGTATAGTCCTTTGACCTGAGTTCGTCCTGATTTCTTACTCATGGAAGTGTTTACTTTGACTTTGTCAAACGTCAGCTGTAAAATGTAATTATAAAGGCATTGGTTGGGTGGATTGTGAATTGTGTAAGAAACAGGGATGGAACAAGATGGAATTTGTCCCTCCTATATAACAGGAGATAAATATCTCTGGGCCTATCGAAGATTTGATACTGAGAAATGCGTGGCCGCGCTCAAACAAGGTGAATGTCAGTCGTTTGTTTAATCAGTATAAATCGGAGTTTGATAAACGTGATCTAGCTTGATAAGGATGACACAGTTTCTTGCCTTATGCTGAGATCGAGATATAGAGACAAAGGGATTACCGCAATAGATGATTCCACTACAAGTGGGAGATTGTTGGGAATGTCCTGCAAATATTTGTACTTTACTCTAGTTAAAGTTGAAATGTCGAGGTTTGACATTTGTATAATATTAGGTGGTTATAATGTTTTGCTAGAAACTGCTTATAATCTATAGACTTAAAAGCTTATTGCTAATATTATACAAACCTACAGGGTCACACACCTAAGCAAATTGGATCAATATATTTAATTGGGTTTACTAGTGATGAAACCAATTATAATTGTTGGGTTTAATAGACTTATTGTACATGATATATATACTTAATTTGAATTGAAACATTCATGTAAAAGATATTCTTAATTAGATTAAGAGTATATGTGTATATCTTGAGATTTCTTTTCAGAGAAAAAGGAAATAATACCAATTAATTATATTCTTTATTTGATAAGGAAATATCTTGATACACAAGATATATTCTTTGTGGAATTGGGAACCTCAATC